GACCAAAATGCCGACATTTTTATCTACAAATTGTTCCAGTAGAGTGAAATAAATGCCAGAGCTACAGGTTTCAAAAGATGTCAGGATAACGTTTCAAAAGTTTTATGATTAATTAATCTTTATACAGAACAATGCTCCACCACATGGATCGAATTATTCCATTGCTAAGCAAACCAGCAAAGGTCCTAAAGATTACTGAATAATGACTTGCTTCCTCACCTGACCTCAGTCCTACTAAGTGATATTTGTAGCTTTTGGGCCCTTTTAAAACGTGAAATTTACAGTAAGGGAAAACAATGCACCTTGTTCTCAGAATTTGAGAGGCAGTGATTGCTGCTTCAGTAAAAGTTGACTGGAACAGATCAAGAGAACAAGAGACTTCATGGACTGAAGGCCCTATTTAAATAAAAGTTCCGGTAATTTAGTTGCCTGATAATTGTGTATTTGGTCAACAGTGAAACTACTACCACTACTACTACTACTACTACTCCTAATAATAATAATAATAATAATAATAACAACTGAGCACACAAAGTAGCAAATACAAAATAAACTATGCATGCGTGTCCCAGCTTACCATCGAAGGGCTTGTCGAGAAAGTGACCGTACACAGTGCTGCTGGCTGCACCCAGGTAGTTGGTAGCCTCCAGTGTGTAGTTGCCGTTATTGTGGTGTGTTGGGTTTTTAAAGGTCAAGCAGCCCTCTACGTAATCCTGGTAAATATCCATATCAGGACGCACATATTCAGTGTGGGAAATTTCCTGAATGGGGAGTGACAAACAAGAAAGAAAAGAAGAATGAAATCATGTCATGAAACTCAAAGCTAATGCTAATATATCCTAAAACATATCTAACCATCAGTCTATTGTCATTTACCAAAAAAATCGTCAAACCTGCTGAGAGTAATTATACATTTTGAAACAGTGGTTCCCTGCCCTTCCATTTAAGGTCATTCCTGCTCAGCGTGAAGGAGACCAATGTGGAACATCACACACTCACATTCACACCTACGGACAATTTAGAATCACCAATTAACCTCAACATGTTTTTGGACTGTGTGGGAGGAAGCCAGAGAACCTGGAGAGAACCCACGCTGCACGGGGAGAACGTGTAAACTCCATGAAGAAAGATCCCAGGTGTCCTCACCGGGACATGAACCGGCGACCTTCTTGCTGTGAGGCAACAGTGCTACCAATTGCGCCACCTTGCAGCCCTCCCTTCCCTATATCCTTCTTTGTAATCTGTTGTAAATATTATTGTTGTAAATAAGTTTATCATTTATAATTCTTGTGTGCTCTGTCTTTTTGTTCTGTGCTTGAGTCTCTGACCCGCTTCATGACACTATGAGATAACGCAATGAATCAATTGACACTGAAGTGATGTTACACAGAAGTATGCTCATCTTTGTTTACTGAAAGTATAGTTCGAAGATACTTGTACTTTAATAGAGTTTATGTTATGCCACTTTATATTCCAGTCCACTACATTTCAGACACAAAAGTTAGGTGAACCTTTGAGTAGTTTTAATTAAAACACATTATAAACCATGACGGAATTCGTCCAAAAAGTTACACTAATCAAGCCATTCGAGCCTTTAACACTTTCTTACGTCAACACTAGAGAAAGCAGTTTGATTAAATGAAATACCATTACCAATAAAACAATAACTTGACAAACTTTTTACACACAGAGGATGCAAAACCCTCAGGTATATATGGTCAATATGATCGTGAACTCTCAGAAAAGAAGAGCTTCCTTTTTTTTTTTATCCTTCTTTAAATGTAATAAATTTAACTGTGTTAATGTTCCTTAATTTGCAGTGAATACTTTGAGTCTTCTTGACAAAAGACCTAAAAAAAAGATCTTCGTTGAATCTGTTGGAAATGGGAGTGTCATAAGCTCAACTTAAAGACAAATGATGAAAATACAGTGGAATGAAAAAAGCGGGACCCCACTGGAAATTCTAAGGGAAGTTTTTTTTTCTTCTCTCTTTTCTAATTAATATACACTGAACAAAAATATAAACACAACTTGTTTTTGCTTTCATTTTTCATGAGCTGAACTCAAAGATCTAAGACTTTTTCTATCTACACAAAAGGCCTATTTCTCTCAAATATTGTTCACAAATTTGTCTCAATCTGTGTTCATGAGCACAAGATAATCCAGGATAATCCATCCACCTCACAGGTGTGGCGTATCAAGATGCTGATTAGACAGCATGACTATTGCACAGGTGTGCCTTAGACTGGCCACAATAATAATGTGATCATGGGAGGTATGTTGTTGCAGGCAATAGTCCCTGCTAGGGTCTCCCAAGGCAAATTTGGTGCACAGTGGGCCCACCACCCACAGGGCTGGAAATTGGGGTTGGGTGCTATGTACACTGGACACTGGACAGTAGTGGGCACTTGGCATGCTGCTCCCTGATGGCGTGGACTGGTTGTGAGGACATGGAATGTCACCTCATCCATGGAGACATGCAAGAGGTGGAGCGTACTGACTAGACATAGTCATGCACAGCAAGGGTTCTGGAACCAAACTCCTGGAGAGGGGTAGGACTCGCTCCTTTTCTGGAGCAGCCTGGATTGAGAGGCAACAGGCCGGTGTGGGGATACTTACAAGTGCCCAGTTCAGTGCTGGTTCACATGTACCCTGCTGGTGAATCCTCCCCCATACCCATGGTAGAGGTTACCAAAGTAGTCAAGAAACTCCTTGGTGACAAAGCGCCAGGTGTGGACGAGAATCGCCCCGCTCTGAACATTGCTGGACTGTCGTGGCCGACACGTCTCTTCGGTGTCACGTGGCCTTCTGGTACAGTGCCTGTGGAGCAGCAGACTGAGGAGTTTCTATTTTTAAAAAAGGAGAGCAGAGGGTTCGCTCCAATTATCTGGGTATCACACTTTTCAGCTTCCCCAGAAAAGTTTACTCTCGGGTGCTGGAAGAGAGGCTCCAACCGATTGTTGAACCTGGGATTCAGGAGGAGCAAGGCAAATTCCATCCTGTCTGTGGAACTGTGGACTAGCTCGTCCACATGCTGAGCTGCTGAAGGAGTCATAGGAGTGTTTGCATTCCTGGCACAGAGTCAAACACGTTTCCGGTGGGTGTTGGACTCCACCAACTGTCCTTCGTCTCTGATTCTGTATGTGGCATTCATGAACAGGATCTAAAGGCGCAGACAGGGTGAGGGGGGGTGTACAGTCTGGGGACCTCAGGATCACGTCTCTGCTTTTTGCAGATAATGTGGCACTGTTGGCTTCATCGGACCGTGACCTTCGGCATGCACTCGAG